CAGAGGCAGGAGGATCAGTAGCTCAAGGTCATTCTTGCCTAAGTAGCCAGTTTGAGACCCAGGAGGTCAGTCTAGACTACCAAAACCTTGTCTCAAACATAACCACCCCCCCACAAAAAGAAAGAAAATTAAATGTTACTTTTCAAAAAGGATATTTTATTTATCTGTATTTTTATTTTATGTATATGAGTGTATTACCTGCATGTATGTAGTGCATCCATGTCATGCAGTGCCTGCAGAGGTCAGAAGAGGGCATCGGATCCCCTGGAACTAGAGTTACAGATGGTTGTTACCACCATGTGGGTGCTGGGAACCAAACCCAGGTCCTCTGTAAGAACAGCCAGTGCTCTTAACCACTGACCCACCTCTCTGGCTCCAAATGTTACCTTTTAAAGTAGTGTTCTTAGGAAATTACATTTGTTCAAATGATACTGTCACTACTCAAAACATTTTCTAAGCTGCTAACATGCAGGGTTTATCAACATATGTTTTCATTTTATTAGGACAGGATACTTCCTTTTAGGACCAAAGCTTCTTTATTCTTTCTCCTTCTCACTTCCTCCATCTACATTTCATCCTCCTACCTCTACTGATGGAATAATCGATACTCAAAGGATCTCTCAGAATCCAGATTCTTAAGAGAAGGGGCTGGAAAGATGGCTCAGTGGTTAAGAGTTAAAGAGCACTGGCTGCTCTTGCAGATTAAGTTCCTAGCACTTACGTACTCTCAACTCCAGTTCCAGGGGATCAATCAGATGCCCTCTTCTGGCCTTCAAGGGCAATGCATGTACATGGTGCACTTACATACATGTAGACACAACACTCATACACATAAAATAAAAATAAATAAAAAATTTTACCCAATCGGACCTTTTGGAACTTTTGGCAACCCATGGCTGCTGGGAAGAGGTGAGACAGTCTCTTACAGGGATGGCATTCTTCATAGGTTAATCAGACTCCAGGGGATGAACTCACACTGAGGGTTATTTGGGGACACAAATCAGACTCTATAGGCCATATTAGATACATAATATAGTACATTAAATTGGGTAGGGAACAGTCAGGGGAGGTGTGATCAGAGGAGGGGATCTAAATAACATCAAGTTATATTGTATGAACACTGCAAAAATTCAATTAAAAAATTTTTTAAATGTTTTAAAGATTCTTGAGAGAACCAAAAATGAGAGGTGGGCTATAGGGAAAGAGAACTCCGGCTTTCAGGTTTCCCTGCCAGTGTGAACCACACACAGAATATTCCCACTGTGTACTGAGGACCAGGCTCAGAGTGGTACATAAAAGGAAATTATTCCTTTGCCCTCATTCTTAACAAACAATCCTATGTATTTTGCTGCCCTCTGAAAATGTCTAGGCTTCACAGAAAACTCTCCTATGTGCGCCCTCACCAATGTAATACATCTAAAGCAAACAAACAAATACAATATACCTTTTACTATTTCTTTCAGCTCATTATAATTTACATCATATATCTATGTTTTGAAAATCTAATTCCCAAGACTTGTCCCAAAGGCAAGGACTATGACTCGCTCTGGGATACAGTTTCAGTAACTGGAATGCAGAATACACTACAGAAGTATCTGTTAAATAGTGACTTACTGAACGTCAGTCCCCGTTTTGCTAAGATGGACCACAGGAAATTTAACCCATAGTAATCAGAGCAATAAAAAGTAACTTTGCTTCACAAAAATAAGAAGAGATTAACACTATCATCTGATTGGAGAGCAGGGAGCAGGAATAACAGCTGGGTAGAGCAAAGGTGCGAACACAGATCATACAAATGAATTATCAGCTAATATTGACAGACCATATTTACTATGTGCCAAACACTATTATAAGTTCTTTATATGTATTAACTCAGTTAATACTCATAAGAGCTCTATGAAAATTATTATCCTTATTTCACACATGAGGAAAATGAGTTGAAAGATCATTTAAAAACAAAACAAACTTGCCAAATATGCCAAATACGTGGATCCTTATATTTACAGACAAGTATCCCAGTCACCACCTATCCAAAGAAGCTTCTTTTGCAACAGAGGGAGAATTATTACAGGGTCCACAAGTGGTCATACACAGAGATTGTCTGTGAATTGCCCAAGCCTAAGTGGCACATCTACAATGCAACCTCTATGCCTAAGGCTCACGAAACAAGGGGTCAAAAGAACACTAAGACATTTCTCAATTCTCATCAATGAAGCTCCCTCATGCAACAGAGGTTCAGGAGGTCACAAATGGCCAAAGCACAGAGAATAAGATCTGCAGAGTGTGGTTCCTTGGATAGGACACCTATATTAAACTCCACCTACCCAAGGTTCAGGAACCATTGCTGAAGAGGGGGCAGAAAGATTGTAAGAGCCAGGGAGGAGGTGCAAGACCATATGGAAATAGTCCTACAGGCTCCTGGGACCATGTTTATGGGAGGGACCTACAGCAATGATGACAAGCATACACAAGACCCATGCAAACTCAAGCAGACTTTAAAAAACCCAACGCAGAACTGCAGAAATGAATAGCAGGCCCCAATCTTAGTTGAAGAACTACTGGCAGCTGATTTTTGCTGGGTAAAAAGAGCTGATCTTCTTAAAGGGAGGGACTCTAGATAGGTTGACTAGACCTCAGTGGATGAACTTGCACTGAGGGATGTCTGGGGGCACTAACTTCACTTGATAGACCTTAGTACAAATGAAAGAATGCATGAATTTTAGTGAGGGGGCTATGGGAGGGGGCCAATGAGGAAGGGGATATAAAGATGATTAAGAAGTTCTGTATGGTCGAGTGTGGTGGCGCACGCTGGAGGCAGAAGCAGGCAGATCTCTGTGAGTTCAAGGCCAGCCTGGTATACATAATGAGTTCCAGGACAGCTGGGCTATAGGGAGACCCTGTCTCAAAAACACCAAAAAAAAAAAAAGTTCTGTATGAAATACACAAAAAATCAATAAAGGATTTACAAAATAAATAAAATAAAAATAAATTAGCAAAGAACAAGAATTTTATTGGGAAACAGGGGCAAGAGGGGTAACTTTAGAGAATACAATAATTTAGGGAGAGCATCAGAAAGTTTTAGAAATCTGGGAAAACAGAAATGATACATAATGCAGTGATAACCATTTCAGTTGTTCCAAAAGTAAGCTGTTAAGTTCTATGGGCATGGAGGGCAGAGTACAGTGTCAATCATTTAAAAGACCCTAAGTTTAAAAGACTCTGCCAGCCCATACTTCCATTTCATTACCTAGTCTCCACTCAATTACTATCCCAATCTTTGATTAAAGTCTATATTTAACTGAAGAAGACATTTCCTCAGCTTAGACACCAAGTAACACTAGGGTGTGTGTGTGTGTCTATCTGTCTGTCTCTATAGTGACAACGCCAAATATATGTTATCCTCAAAATTAGTATGTATCTCCTCAAAATAACTAATTGATTCATCCCAAATAGCAGACCAACTTAAAATGCTTTCCATACTAAAGATGGTAAAGGTCATCTTTTTTACATTCTCTAGTAAAATAACTGATTAAATGTTTCCAAGAAAGCCACTAAGAACCTAAGTTACTTCAGACAGCTGCAGGCCACAGCCCTAAGGAGAACGCTGTCATTTTCCACAGACTATGTGGGTATAAGCAGCTTCAATACCACGCTGAAGAATGCCAGGGTCACACTCATGTTCTCATGCACTACCACTGTTGCCAGACAGCATGGAAAGCATGCAGAGAGAAAGACACAGGATGCTCAGCTCTGCAAATGGTCTCTCTCTAAGTTACTAAACTTATTTTTTTTTTAATCTCAAGACTGAATTTCTCAGTGTTTATGTTCAATAATAATCCAGAAGTTGATTAGCTTTATTTTTCTCTTACCTTTTCCTGTTTCTCGGGAAGTGATTATTATTCTTCCAGTTCTAGGCTCATATTTCACCCTTAGTTACCACTCTACAACTTGTGCAAAATTTTCCTATCTAGAAAAAATAAAACTCTAAATTCAGAGACTAAAACATGGTCTCTTGACATCTGAGTCACTAATAAAGTTTAACAAATCCAAACAGGACAAGACTTACCCAGCAGACGCTATCAAACATGACAAACTCTTGTACCAAAATTCTTGAATTGTAAATGGTAGCTGAAAGACAACAGCCTACAAATCTGTTCTAACTCAGCTCCATATTACAACCCACAGTGTTTCAGGCTGTCTCCTGGTTTATGGCCAGTAACTAATAGTGTACTCACAAAGAGTGCTCATACAACATTTACAAAGTACATTTACATATATTCTCTATCTAAGCTTTATAATCCAATGACACAGGTTATCATCTTCACAAACTAGGTAAGGTGAAATAACTTGTCCCATTAAGACAAAATATCAGTGTCTGATCTGCAACTCAAGCTAAGCTTTCTATTTCCAAAGCCCATTTCTGTCCTAAAACAATCAACCCTGCCTTTCACTACCATGGAGGCTGTTTCTACTAAACTAATTGTTCTATCAGCATTATTAGTGAAGATATTGTCTCAGGAAGCTGACCAAACCTAGGAAATACTCAAGGGCACCTGGTAGAAAACGGATCCCTCCCAGCAATTATAAGAACTGCTCTTTAAAGGGCTGGAGAGATGGTTCAGCAGTTAAGAACATTGGCTGCTCTTACAGAGGATCTGAGTTTAATTCCCAACATCCACATGGCATCTAACAACCACCTGTAACACCAGCTCCAGGAGACGCAACACCCTCTTCTGGCTTCTTCCAGCACTTGCACTCACATAGCATACATTCACACAGACACATACACATGTAACAATAAATATAAAAAAAATATTTTAAAGTGCTCTTTTGTTGTACCCAGATGCTGAACTAATGTTAAATACATAATGAAATAAAGTTTCAATGAATTCGGTTTTACAACTTCATTAGGTATACTTGTAAAAAGCTCTCATTTCTTTGAAAAAACCATTCATTTTCAAATGCCAAAATCTAAAGCAAATCTGAAGACAAAGTCTTACCTGTTCACCTGCCTCCTGAAACTCTTTGCAGGCATCAGGGAACACATCATAAATAATGAGTGGATAGCCATGCTTCATGAGATTTTTTGCCATTGGATTCCCCATGTTTCCCAGTCCAATGAATCCAACTGGAGTCTTAGAAGCCATTGACCTAGAACACACTGATTTCAATACATTACTTTAAATGAAGTCAGGTTGTATTTTTATTGTAAACATTCTTTTAATATTAATCAACTATTTAGATATTTTTCGTTAAAAAATTTAAGGGGCTAGTTTTAGACTAATAACCACATTTTAATATGTCAACAACAGCAAGCAATCTTCTAAATATTTAGTTCTCCAGAAAATAGTCATAAAATTTTAAGTAACTCCTATTTTGTACTTCTCTATCATCCCTTTGACAATTTTAACAATAAACTCAATGTTATCATTTATAAAACCGGTCCTGTGTAAGTCACCTACTTTATCAAGTAGATGAGATTCCTTATAGCTATATTGTCTCTTTTAATAATGCATTTAAAAGACTGAGCAACTTCATCTTTGACTAGGTCTGATAATTACAGAAACCATCTCCTCCAACAGTAAAAGCCTGATAAGTGTAGCTTAGTGGCAGAGTATGTGCCTAGCATGGATGAGGTACTAGGTTTAATCTTTAGCATTCAAAAAAAAAAAAAAAAAATCTGGAGCTGTAGAAATGGCTCAGCAGTTAAGAGCACAGGTTGTTCTTACAGGAACCCAAGTTCAGTTCCCAGCACTCACATGGTGGCTAACAAATATCTGTAACTCCAGTTTCAAGGGATTCGACACCCTCTTCTGTCCTCTATAGGCATTGTATGCACATGGTGCAGGCAAAACACTAATATACATAAAAAAATTAAAAACTGAAAAACAATCATAAAATATTAACCAGAGGAAAATGTTTTTCAAATAAAGTTAGCATTTTATAAAGGTTGTAGGGGAGGAGAAGGGAATGCTTCCACAAGTTTTCTAGAGCAAGAACAACAGAATCCACACCCTGACCTAACACTTTTTACCTTCTGAAATGAGGGAGTTCCATTTACCAAAGGAAAAAGTCCTTAAGGGTTGGGGAGATGGCTGTTTTTAAAGTATCTACCAACAAGAATAAGGACCTGAGTTTGGATCACCAGCACCCATGCAAAAAGCTGGGCAGGTGCTATGTCTCTCTAAGCCTAGTACTAGGGAAGGGAGGGTCCCTGAGGCTTACTGGACAGCTAGTCTATCCAAATCAGTGAGCTCCGGGTTCAGTGAGAGATCCTCTCTCCAAAATATAAGGTGAAAAGGAATAGAGGAAATGACCTTACAATGACCTCTTAGCTTCTGTGTGTACACACAGATACACCATACCTAGTCCATACCACCACAAACACACAAAAGTCCTTAAAACTGTACGGGCTTCATTGCTGTTATTGTTGTTCAAAAAATATTTCTTGAAGGTCAGTGAAATGGCTCAGTGGTAAAGATTCTTGTCACCAAGTCTGACAACCTGAGTTCACTCCTCAAGACCTATAGGTTGGAGAAAACTGACTTCTGCAAGCTGTCCTTTGATTTCTGCATGGATGTACATGCATACATACATACATGCATACACACACACACACACACACACACACACACACACTCACAAATAAATATAATAAAAAATTGTTAATGCTTTTCAAAATCCCATTGGGGGCCTGCAATTCAAAGTAATGGCTTAGTCAGGTGTGGTAGTACATGCCTATGAATTCCAGTACTCAGGAAGTGGAGGGAAGAGAATCAGAAGTCCAAGGTCAGCTTAGGCTACATGAGACTAAAGGCTATTGACTCTGTTGGGGAACCCTGCTGTTTAGGTCAGCTCCTTTCTCAGCAGGGGCTTCCTGCCTGACTTACCTGGAAAGTGCCTCCAAGCAGGAATGCCTGACCTTATTCAGAACATGACCTTTGGCATAGTTACCTGGAGTAAAAACTACCCCCAGGTTTTTCTATATGACAATCAGGCATTGCCCCATAGTCGGATGATAGGATCCTGCTACCAAGCATACGATGAGCACCTATCAGCTGAAGCATTGGCTGCTGCCTCCACACTATATTTTCCCTAACCCCCACTGAATAAACGGAGCTGTTTCACTGAATCTGGAGCTGTATCACTGAATCTGCCTCCCCGGAGGGCTTTCTTCCATCAGTGCTCACTGGCCATCCTGACCCAGTCCGTCCTGACCCCGTTCGTCGCTTCTGCTCCCTTTGTCCTTGTGGATCGGTGGCCAACGACCCACAAGGGGAGGGAGAGACCCCACAGACTCTAAATACAAATAGGGCTAGTGAGAGAGCTCAGTGAGTAAAGGGACTGATGACCTGAGTTTAATCTCCGGGACCCACGTGGTAGATGAAGAGCTGTCCTCTGACCTCCACACTCGTGCTGTGGGCATGCACATGCTCACACACATATATAAACAATGAATAAACAAATAAATGTAATAAAAAATAAAACAACACCCCTCAAAAATGTTTTTAGAGAGTATGAGAACTTTACCATAGAAATAGCATTAGATAGAATTTCAGTTTTTACAACTCTACTCAACAAATACCCCTCAATAAATACACACTTGCATATCTAGAGACAAGCAAGATTCAGCACATGCTCTTGCAAAGCTCACAACCTACTGCAGGAGGAAAGAGAAATAACTCTACTTGCCCTTACATTTGTAGGCTTTCTTCTTCTCTTTTCTTGCAAGGACTCCAGTTTTAAACTGTGTAGTGGGACAACTAATCATAGTCACTTAAATTTCAAATTCTCTCAAATGATTGTTCCTGCTCACCTTGAACTTATGTAAATACAATGAAACAGCCTAAAAGCAAATTATTTGATGCTCTCATACTTAAGAAATAAAGTTCTTGGGGCTGGAGAGATGGCTCAGCAGTTAAGAACATTGACTGTTCGAATCCCAGCACTCACATGGCAGCTAACAACTGTCCATAACTCCAGTCCCAGGGGATCCGACAGCCTCTTCTGTCCTCCGCAGGCATTGCATGGCACACATGCATTTACCTACATGCAGGCAATACATGCACACACATAAAATAAAAATAATAAATATTACAAAAAAAAGAGAAAGTTCTTATTGGGTTAGAAGCATATTTAATTCCTCTTAATTTGACAATTGACTCTATCACTTCCATTAAATGTGTCAATCCTGTGCAACATCACATTACTAGTACTAAGTTTAACACTGTGTAACAGGAGCCCTTTGTTTTTATGGCCCACAGAGGTTCAATGACATAGAAATGACACCTCATTGAAATTTTATTTTGAAATTAAACAGAATGAGAAGTATATTTTATAAAAGAGCTCTAATGTTCATAAGCAAACTAACAAAAATAGCCTGAGAGAAAATGTAACATTATGCCAGACCATGTGTTAATGTTGGAAAAGTACAATAAAACAACGTAAAAACATTACAAACAAGGAACACTGTATTTTGAAAGCAATTAACAGCAACTACTCTAGCTCTAACAGGTAACAAGTATGATAACGTAGAAAGATGTTCATTCACACTTTAGTAGCCACTCTGGGGCTGGAAAGATGGCTCAGCAGTTAAGAGCACTGACTGTTCTTGCAGAGGACCCAGGTTCGATCCCAGCACCCACATAGTGGCTACAAACCGTCCTTAACTCCAGTTCCAGGAGAATCCGAAGCCCTCTTCTGATCTCCGTGGCATTGCGCAACATGGGTGCACTCACATACATGCAGGCAATACACTGGTATACATAAAATAAAAATAATAAATAAAATTTATTTAAAAAGTAGCCATTCCTATGTACTATGCCAGTCGGTGGCCTCAAACTCATGATATGACTACCTCAGCCTCCCAAGTGTTAGAATTATAGCTATGTATCACTATACCCAGACATTGAGCATACAAATGAGACACAACCTGTGCGTCCAACAACCTTAAAATCCAAGAGAACATAAACTATACACACATACAGACACACACATATCAAAAACAAAAAAGTAAAGAAACACCAGTACAAGATAGGTAAGGATAAAATATAAAAAAAAATAGTACTGATACGAAATTCACAGTCTGATAATTTGAAGAAGGTACAATTTGATTTGGGAACTCTAGACAGATAAAATTTCAAATAGAACAGGAAGAAGAAAACTAACAAAGAAAAAGGAGGCTGAGTACAGTCAAGGAACTAGGAAAGCTAAGAAATGAATAAAAGTTAGTATTTACTAGTTTTACTACATGCCAGACACTGAACTAAATACTTCACTGATAAATGCTATCACATATTACCAGTAAGCCCATCTTTTAGTTGAGATGCTAAGCAAGTTTAAGTAAAATGATCACAGCCTTATTTAGTTGGGTTTTTGTTTTTGTTTTGGGGGGATTTGTTTTTAGTTTTGTGTTGTTCTTTGCAGTGGTAGAAACTGAGCACATGCTAGGCATGTCTGAATGCACTTGTGTCTTTAGGCTTCAAAGCAGTTCAATCTTCGGACCCCAACTTCTTTATGATTATTTGGTGATTTTTGCCAACTCCCATGATATCAAATCTGACTGTAAGATTTCTTATTAGAAACAATGCAACTGAAAAGACAATGCAGCAAAATCTTTAAAACACTGAAAGAAATCTTTCAAGCTAAAAATCTATACCCAATACATATACAGAAATATTCAAGTATTTATATGCAAAAAAGCAACAGGAAATTTCAAGTGGCAATGGAGATGCTGTACTCTCTTAACTGTGTTAATGATTTTACACAGGTATACACATTAATCTCATCAAAGTGTATACTTTATGTATCATGCAGCCAGGCATGATGGGACTTGCTTATAATTCCAGCATCCTGGACAAGGATAGGAGGATTGTGGGTTGGAGACCAGCTTGGGCAACAGCAAAACTCTGTCTTAAAAAAAGAGACAGGGAGAGGAAGGGAGGGGAGGGAGGGGAGGGGAGAGGAGGGGAGGGCAGGGGAGGGAAGGAAGGGGAGGAGAGGGGAGGGAAGAAAAAGGTAATTTATTGTATGTCAGTAATATTGTAATAGCTACTTTAAAAAATATTTTATTTATTATTTTTATGTGTATGAGTATAATGTATGTAAGTGCACCTACATTGTGCAATGTCCACAGAAGTCAGAAGAGGTTGTTGGATCCCC